TATGTTATTACTTCATTCTAAAATAACAATGAACTCACATTCATATAAAACATTTTTTGAAAAGTAACCATATTTCCCAAAAAAAATTTTAGTAAGAGTAGTGACATTGTTCTACATTTTTGAAAATTTCTTTAATATTTGGATTAATAGAAGACAGTTGGGGGTTCTCGTGTTTGAGAACAGATAGGGTTTTCTCGTGTTTGTTTCTGCATTCAATCTGTTACCTCACACTTTTTTTAAAAAACCTCCCCGGAAAGCTAGAAGAATTTGGGTCTTTTAAGCATGAGCTGCCTGTATTCCTTTCTTGCACCGTGAAATGAATACTGTATTTTCCTTCACCACAACCAGGTGTCAGTAGATTGGCTTTGCTGCCCTATCAGACTCAAGTTTGAGTCGGTAACAATTTTGTCACACTGGATATTCAAAAAGATGTGAAGTCAAGAGTAAAGATTTCATAAAAGTGATCATTTTTACTGTTTCATCAAGGATGCCCTTAAGTGAATCTGGCCCTTGTTTGACTGCAAGCATGCCAATGAAAAATACAGTGGCTTCTGGTACGTTTGAGTGGCCCTGCTCCGCCTTGTGCCAAGGCAGTAACAGCAGCCACCAATGCCCTGTGTCAGCAGTGCCAACCTCAGCACAGGTACTCCAGGGTCAACCACGAGACCGAGTGAAGTTATTCAGTATTTTGAACGTCTCAGCACCCCTTGTGTTTGCTTCTAAGCATTCACATAAAAGATCTTTGTCTAGTTGGCGTAACACTGGTTGAACACAGGCAAAATGGTGAGTCTGGACACATCCGTTGATTTGCCCATTTGTGAGACAAAAGTACCATTCTGCAGGGATGGTATTAACTCAGCCTTCCTGTTTGCAGCTAAATCTTTGATCTCACAAGCTACTGTGTCATTATAAAGTGGCGCTGCTGTGACGTCTTCTACTGACTCTGGCCAGCCAGCAGTCAGCAGTGTCAGCTTGAAGGCTCACATGCCTTTCTGCCAGAGGAACCTTCTGTGATGGCGCACACTGCACAAGCTGCCTACCTGCAGGGTAATCCAGTGGCTTTGCCTTCCTGGGTTGAAAAGCCATAATCAACAATTTTTGGCATTTAATGAACTCATCACATCTGCATTTAAAATATTCAATTCTTTTTTCTTTAGACTCTGAATGATTTCTCTTAACATGATGCCACAACTTATGAGGTAACACAAAGGTAAAATTTTAACATTGTAAAGCCAAGGAATAGGTAGCTTTTAAGTCATATTTTGTTTCAAATCTATACTTTTTTCAGTAGGTTTTAGATTCATCTTTTTCAGCATCTTTGCAATTAGATGGTACAGCTGTGAACCAAGGAAACAAGATTTCTAATCTTCCTTAAAGTTAATGATCCATGCTTAAATATAACAATAAATGGAGTGTGACTTAAATGTAACACTGAATGGAGGGTTATAAAGCCAAAATGTTGGGGGTGGGGGAGAAAAGGCTGATGTTGAATTGTAAAGATGGAAGCAGCAGCATTTGGCATCAGGAAAGGGAAACTGGGTCAGGGCAGAGAGCAGATCACTAGCAATGCATTAAAGATGCCATAAACTGTGTGGACCTCCACCAGTCAAAGCAGGATTGGGCTGAGGGTCTCACTTTGACACTGGGGAGCCTCTTCCAATGTCAGGTCAAGTGGGAAGAGGTGTGAGTTCTTGGGAAGACCTGGTCTTTGGTGGAGGAAAGTAGCAAGAGGAAGAGAGGACTGAGTTTGGGAAGATACCAGTGAGACATGTTCCACTCCGTGACTCAGTCCTTTACCTGGTTTGCCCTTAGAGCATGTGAGGGCCTTGAAGAAGAATATGCTTATTATTATTTAAATAAATGTATAGCAGTATGCTTGCTTCCCAGGTGGCGCAGTGGTAAAGAATCTACCTGCCAATGCAGGAGACACAGGAGACATGGGTTTAATCCCTGGGTTGGGAAGATCCCCTGGAGGGGGAAATGGCAAGCCACTCCAGTATTTTTGCCTGGGAAATCCCATGGACAGAGGAGCCTGGTGGGCTACAGTCCGTGGGGTTGCACAGTCAGACATGACCGAGCAACTGAGCACGCACACATGCACGTATGATAGTATGCTTATGGAAAAGTGGGCAGTAATCTAGTTCATCAAAGGCTTGGAACAGGGACTTCCCTGGTGGCACAGTGGATAAGAATCCATCTGCCAGTGCAGGGGACATGGGTTCCATCCCTGGTCCAGGAAGACTCCGCACGCTACAGAGCAGCTAAGCCCGTCTGCCACCTCTACTGGAGCCTGCTCACTCTAGGGCCCGCGAACCCAACTACTGAGCCTGTGCGCCTAGAGCCTGTACTCCACAATAAGAGGAGCCACCACAATGAGAAGCCCGTGCAGTAACACAGATCCAGCAAAGCCAAAAATAAATAAAATTAATTTTTTTTAATTGCAGATCCCATATAATCAAAGTTTAATGCATGTAATATACTAACCTCTTCAGGAATAAAAAGTAGTACTAGAAGTTGACATGGAGTAAAATATACATATTTCTTTAGTTTATAAATTATTCAAATATGCGACTTAATAAATTATTTTTGTAACACTAAACATATGAGTCATTGGAGAATATCAGCATTTTACTTTTACAGTTACAATGGTGAGTGATAGCCGGGCAGAAGCACTTTTGAGTGAAAAGATGAAAAGAGACAAAAGTATAAACTGCTGTGACATTTCAGTCTGAAACGATGTGTCATGAACGAAGCAGATTTATCCGTCCACACAAAAACTGTCCAAAACCACCATCGCCTCCCCATGGAGGCGGGAGAGAGAGGCAGAATGATCCACCACTGAGGTTGCTGGTGTCTTGAGGATTTTAGGTTGATTGATACTGTTCCTATTTCGGTAAAAATAATTTCAATTAGGTAATAAGGCATTGAAATTATAAGGGCAAATAATTATTAAAATCATCTAATAACCTATGTTGTTTAACTATTAATAATAGCCAGCATACAATAACTCATTTTTAACTATTTCACTTTTAGCATCTATTTTTATCTTAAAACCTTTGATATAGATAGCAAGTTTTTAAACAGCCATATTTGTGTTCTTATTAATGCAGGTTGAATCTAGCTTATGCATGCCTGTAAGTTTTCAGAACTCAGTTGATAAACCATTACACATGAAATTTTTAAGCTGGTGACATTTTGCATCAAGGTCACAAATGGGTTGTAATTTTATATTCACACAGTTGTCTTGACTTCCCACAGTGTACATGCACACAGTTGCTGTACGCACATGATATTAACCTGTCACTGAAAACCTGGCCGGGAGTGAAGTCTGGAACTTCCAAGTGAAGCAAAGCAGCAGGAGCCACACAGAGGCACGAGCCCTCTGCCTGCCTGCCAGCCACCCTACCTCGGTCCTGGGCAGGACCGGAGGCCTGGGTCTCTCACCAATGAAATCTTTGCTCTGTGCTTGGACTAAATCCAGACGCCACTTTGACAGACGCTTCATCTGCCGGGAAGCAGACTGTGTTTGATTTCACAGACGTCCCTGGAAACCCAAGACTGAGTGTTAAGGGCGTGTGGATGAGGGTTAAATCTGATCTGGTAGGAATCCAGGTTTAGTAAAACAGGAAGAAAGAATCTGTCGCTAAGCCATGGCTGTGGAGCTGTTCCCGAGGAGTGAGATGTCGAGAAAAGCCAGAGCCCACCTCTGGCTCCCATTTAGGATGTCCCGGAGCATCACAGGAAGGTCCTCTGGCCTGGGGAGGGGGCTGTATTTTTTCTAGGTAGCCAAGTGGAGATTGCGGGCAAGAAGCGCTGGTAAGGTTGATAAGGTGATGGGAGGCTGAGAGCTACTTTGTTCTGTACCCTGAAAGGAGTCATGAGCCTATTCACTGTATGGGTACTTCATTGGTAAGAGCTCTCAGGAAGAAAACAATTGTTAAAATAACCCATCTCAGGGAGGTAGAATTTTTCTCCCTGCAAACTGTACTGCTTTTGCCCCTCTGCCAACTTGACAGAATACAAATTGTGCTTGGGTGTTCAACCTCCATTACCACAGCCTCTGTGTGTGTGTGTGTGTGTGTTTTCTTTAAATGCTTATTTATTTCTTCGAGCCTCCATTGTGTCCTGAGGGATCTTTCTTTGTGGCTAACTCCCTGGCATGTGGGATCTTAGTTCCACGACCAGGGATCAAACTCATGTCCCCGGTACTGCAGGATGGATTCTTAATGACCAGACCGCCAGGGAAGTCCCAGCCTGTGTTCCTAAAATTCCCTGTTATACTTACATGTGGAATCTAAAAAATACAACGAACTGGTGAATATGACCAAAAGAAGCAGCAGACTCACAGATCTAGAGAAGAAACTAGTGGTTGGTCACCAGTGGGAGGCAGGGAGGGGAGGGGCAATATAGCTGTGGGAGAGTGGATGGTACTAACCGCTGGGGAAAAGATAAGCTCAAGGATGTATTGTACAACATGGGGAATATAGCCAATATTTGGCAATAACTAAGTGGAAAGTAAGCTTTAAAAATCTGTATAAAATATTTTAATAAAAATAAAGATCAAATACCCTCCCTGCAAAAAAAAAAAAAAAAAAAAATCCCTGTTATAAAAGTGATGGCATTCCAGATTCCTTGGGGAGAGCAGCATCTCTCTAAGGAATGTTTACAGGTTTATTTGACAACATAAAGTCCTGGGAAGTTGAACTCTGCACCCAGTCTACGAGCGGAATATCTAGGCTTCTCTCCAGCCACGTCCCGGGGGGCCAGGTCAGAGGCTGTCCACGTGGGGGACACATGCCTGGCATCCCTGGGCCACAGGGTGGGGGCCCTGAATACCAGCTTCGAGGAGCAGAGTCGGGGAGGCAGCTGCCCTCATGGGAGCACTACCCCCCGCCCCGCGCCCCCGCTCCATGGCCCCTGTCCCTTCATGGCTCCGTGGGCACACTCAGCCACCTACTCATGGGTGGACTCCGGTGACACAACACCAGGAATAACTCCAGAAGCACACTTCCCCCTTTCCAACACCTAGATAAAATACATCAGGAATCAAAACCTACCAATAATCATTTATTTTTTCCATACAGCGGAAGCCTCTTTTCTAATGGGTGCCTCCTGTCCTGTAGCACCCCCCTCCCGCCCCCAGTGGTGCCAGGGTCACGACCTGACCCTCCCTGGCCTGTAGCTGAGACTGTGATTCAGGCAAAAGGCCTGGCAGAGGCAGGTATGGTGCTGTGTGTGTGTGCAAATACTCTGACTCCTTGAATCAGCTAAACCTTAGCGCTTAAGGAAAGGCAGCGGAAGAGGTCTGACACAGAAGGAAAACACAGCCGTGCCTCCAATTCCTCAGCAGCAGGAATGTGTGCGTCTAGGGCTGACTGCTTCGCTGGCTTCCCTGCCACTGCTTCCTCTTGCGGAGGTGCCGCTGGAGCTGCAGCTTGTTGGTGAAGTACATCTGTCTCCAGCCCATGTCCTGGGCCAAGGCTTGCATGTCAGGGGTGATGTGGTCACAGGACCCCCGGACGATCTGCTCCCACAGTTCGTCTGACGTGCACAACTGTGGGTGGAAGAAGTCAGAGGGCAGTGACATCACATGCGGGTTAAGGGAAAGTCATTCACTCACTCAGCGTCACTCTCCAAATCCTGCCGCCCATGAGACCTGGGAGGAAACACCGCATACACCTGGAGAGGTGCCAGTCATGGTTCCAGTTCCTGAAATTTCCTCTGTGGGGACAGAGGCAAGCACCCAAGTATCTAAAGGACTGAGCAATACTTGATTAAGGGAGTAAACCGAGTCCTGATCTCATTTGAGATGCAAAATGCCAGCTAGTTATAAATAGTGCCCATACAACATAACATAGTTAATGCAGAGAGCCTGGTAGGGTGAATTTCCGATTAACCACTTGGCAGAGGCTGACAATGTGTGGTTGACCCATCTTCAGCCAGAGCTGCAGGAGCGTTGCTAAGTGCTGCTCAGGTGCCTTCATGTTAAACCCTGGCTTAAGTCCCCTCTGGCTTCCCCGGTGGCCCAGCGGTCAAGAATCTGCCTGCCACGCAGGAGACGTGGGTTCGATCCCTGGGTCGGGAAGATCCCCTGGAGTAAGAAATGGCAACCCACTCTAGTATTCTTGCCTGGGAAATCCCATGGGTGGAGAAGCCTGGAGGGTTACAGTCCATAGGGTCACAAAAGAGGTGCTCATGACTTCGTGACTAAACAATAGATAAGTCACATCTCCCCTGGGGCTGTTCAGCGGACACCTTAGCTCGCTGCAGGCTGCTCCGTAGTGAACCACAATGAAACAGACAAGCAGCCCTTGGAGACTGCCAACCGGCACACCTAAAATTTACACATGCTTGGGCCCAGGGTCCTGTCCACAAGTTTCTCTCCAAGTCCTTCGCATGTTTGCCATCACCCCATGCAGCAGAGCGGCCTACAAGATTCAGTCTGCTCTCTGAGCCTGAGGCACAGGGCAGAGAGCTGTTCTCTGGAATACCATCCCCGGGATGTCCTTCTGCTGTCTGGTCCTTTACCTGAGGGCCAGGAGGTTAAGGACAGACACGACCCCCTCCAGCCTAGTATCTTCACAAGACCATTTTGCCCTCCCTCAAGCTCAAAGCTGCCACAGTTCAGCTCCCATTAACCAAATATTTCCCACCAGGACTTTTACAATTGCTACCATCATTTATGACAATGCTGTTCATCGGTCTCCTGCTACTAAACATTCTTACCATGGAGATTTCCTGACCCCTTGCTGCCATGCCCCCAAATCTTTCTTAAAGCTTCCATTACATTTATTATCTCTAACCTTAGTGATGGCCATGGTTTGTTTTTTGGTGCGTGTATGCAAGACCAGGAGCATTGAAAGGTGCTTGGATATTTGATGTTGCACAGTGATAACTCCAGCAGCAACCCAAAATGTGCTCGAAGAAGGGTCCCGTGTGGGCCCCAGGACACTTCCTGGCTCCACGCTTCCTGTGCCAACTGGGCACTCAGGCGAGTTCATCGCCAACTTGATTCCCCCTTTCATGGGTTCCATCCAGTGGTCATCACATGTGAAAATCCAGCAGTGGAAAGAACAGTGGGAGTTCCCTAGTCATCCAGTGCTTAAGAATCTGTTTTCCAGTGCCAGGGACTCGGGTTTGATACCTGGTTGGAGACCTAAGATCCCACATGCCGAGGGGCAACTGAGCCCATGCATCATGACTACTGACCCAGTACATGCTCCTCAGTCTGACCTCTAGGCTCCTCCACACGTACCCTTCTTCTCACATTTAAACATCCAAACAACAGTGGCAGCACAACACACTCCACCTAGTCCTCCCACGGGTGAAAACATGTCTATTCTTTGCCTTCACCGCCACCCCATTCCTGCCACATCCCAACAGTCACTGCATACCTCTGGATGAGGCTTGTTCCTTCCAGTTAATCCCAGTTTATCTTTGTATCCTAGAATTATAAAGCCAATGGGTACTGACTTGCCCTACTTAAAATACTAAGCGAAAGGGAAAGAGGAAATATCAGTTTATGTACAAATGCATATATCACTGAGTGAGGAAGAAAATACAGGGAGCTACTACAGTCCTGGATTCTGAAAGTGGTCACCAGTTCTTGTGATTTTCTCATTCTACTACCTGTTCCATTTTCCTTTTGTCCTCAGCCAGCACCTGAACAGGTCAATTCTATACCTACTGATGTGGTCCAAACCTTCTCCAATTCCTGCCAGGTGTGAGCACATCTTGATCTTATAGGTAGAAGATATTTTTGTTTTCTTAATTAGGTTTTGCCATTGAATGTGCCAGAAAGCATTTGCCAGAGGAAATCCCTGGTGGTCCATTGGTTAGGACTCTGTACTTTCACTGCAGGGGCCATGGGTTCGATCCCTGGTGGAGGAACTAAGATCCTCAAAAACCATGTGATGCAGGCTAATTTGAAACACACACACACACACACACACACACACACAAACCAGAAACAAAAAAACTCAGCTCACTTGCATAGATGGTCTGAGTCCTAGAAATACTTCTCTGTAATTCTCTTGTGAATCAGCAAGTCTATTTTTCTCTGGTAAATAGGATTAATCACCTGAGTCAATATAGTAATGCTCATTTGGGTAGTTTTTTCTTTTTCTTTTTTCTTTTTTCTTTTGCCTGTTTGTCCAGTGGCATTAGAAGCCCCAGGTAGACTGGGAACACATTTAATTTCTAGTTTGGTGGAATCATTCTTATTCTTTGCGTGAATGTATTGATTCTTTGACCATCAACATTTCTAGCCTAGTAGCAGCCAAAATTATGAAGAAGAAAGCAACATTTTTTTCACATTGGTGATTAGGCGTGACTCCAAGAGAGGGTTCTCCTATGTCCATCCTTCAGTTGTAGCTACAGAAGAAAGAGGACCACATTCTACTCAGTGACTGGGAGCATGTATTATTACCTCCTGTCAGACTGTGCTCCAACCTTCCAAAGTGTCCATTAGCTGATGAGATGAGGGAGTAAGCGCCTCCAAAAAGCCATTCCCTCATTCCCTGAAAACAACTGTTTCTAGATAGTGGAGTATATGCTAAGAGTGGGAAATTTTATACTCATTATCTTAGGTACTTATGTCTATTTGTTTAATAAGTGAATTTATTTATTTCAGAAAAAAATAATCTGAAGCAATCTTGTGTGGGTTACCATGATGGAAAAATAAGGCATTCGGTCAATTTATACACGATGTTGCTGAAGGAGCATGGTGTGCCAGGAAAGCAGACCCAGACCCAGAATAGGAACTTCACCCAAGGAAGACAGGTCGCTGCTTCCTCCATGGTGGAGAGGGTCCAGCGTAACTGACCTGGCGGTGGTGTTTAGTTGTCAAGTCATGTCCGACTCTTATGTGACCCTATGGATTATAGCCCACCAGCCTCCTCTGTCCATGGGATTTCCCAGGCAAGAATACTGGAGTGGGTTGTCATTTCCTTCTGGAGGGGATGTTTCCAACCCAGGGATTGAACCTGCATTCCTTGCTTCTCTTGCATTGGCAGGCAGATTCTTTATCACTGGCGCCACCTGGAAGCCTGTGTAACCGACCAAGCACTTTGTTAATGACTGGACCCCCACCACCCAGAGTACCTTCCTGGGGGCTCAGCATTACCCCTCTGTGACAGTGGACAGATTCATCTTGAAAAGAGGAGACTCATGAGGTTGAGTCCATGTACAACTTTCATCCTTGCCACCTGGGCACTTGGTTTATGAACCCAGTGGGAGAAAGGCGCTACCTGACATGCACAGAACAGACCACCTTATCCATCTCATTACTGAAGATGTCCTCGGCACTGAGTGCTCTGTGGTGAACAGTCACATGGGACACAAATATCCTGATTCTATGGATTATTCTGAAAAGTTGATCCAAATACCTCTTTCCCCAAATTCCACACTCATCTTTAAATCTTGTTCAAGACCATCTAGGGAAAACATCAGGTTTTGCCCCACAGAAATCCAAGAGCTGTTTCTCAGCAGCAGAACAGTTATCTGCAAAAGCATCCATGCCTTTACTCTAAAAACCTCAAAGGTATGAGCTGTAATTTTCCTGATGACGCAAGGATCAAGATAGACTATAGCCATACAGGCCACAGACACTCTAAGCACCAATCTGCTGGATCATAAGGAGCAAGTGATTCATCTGCTTACCCTGCATTCTGGACCAGCTGCTGGGCCCCACTTAAATCTGATAACTTTATGGGCTACTTGGTAAATGAATCAGAGAAGCAAACTCAAATGTGTTATATGTTATCTTGAAAACTAAAAAGATCCACAAAGAACTGTGCTGCTTTCTTAGGATGCATCAATTCAGTCATTTCCAATTCTTTGTGACCCTATGGACTGTAGCCCACCAGGCTCCTCTGTCCATGGAATTCTCCAGGCAAGAATCAACTGGAGTGGGTTGCCATTCCCTTCTGCAGGGGATTTTCCCAACCCAGGGATAGAACCTAGGTCTCCTCCACTGCAGGCAGATTCTTTACCATCTGAGCCACAGGGAAGGCCTTTTTGAATAGCAAGTTACAATAAGGCAATGGATTCAAGATAACACATGGAGATGTCAGGTCTCTCAATTTTTGAGTTCATCTCCATCTCTTTCACATACACATATCTTACCAAGGCACCTAAGGTATCTGCTACCCTTGCTCAGCTGCATGATGTCATCAGTGTGGACTAGCATGTAAGAAGGTAATGGGATCAATATTTCTGTGATGTATGTATGACTCACAGCTGGAGAACCTACTTAGTACTAAGGCAAAATGATGAAAGTGTGCTGCTATCCTCGCCAGGTGAAAGCAAATCTACTGTGGCGTTCCTTCTGGAAAATCCAGGAAGATATAAGGAGGGTGTGTAAAAGGTAGTGGCAAGGCAGGAGGTGAGAAATGGTCAGACTGTAGATATATTTTGAAGGCGGGGCTCATGTGACTTGCTAATGAATTAAATGAGAAGCAAGAGGAAAAGGAAGAATTAAAGATGAGCTCTTTGACTTGGACAGCTATGTAAATGATAGCTATGTAAATGATATTTAGTTACAAGACAGTGATG